CTCTAATATCACACACCAACTCCTGTTGCCCTTTTCCTTGTCAGTATCTTACTTGTTAGAAAAGTACAATCTAAAACTAAGCAGAAAAGTAAGGTAACTTTGGAGGGGGAGGGAAATAACAAGGACAGCTAAGGCTTCCTCAGTCTGTATTCATAATCAGACAAGTAAGCCACCAGATCAGCTGCCTTTTTAAAGTTTTATAGAGCACTACCACCATAGTAGTAAATTCGTTGTATTTACTTACATTACCACAAGCAGCAATTGATTATTACAGTTTCTAGATAATAAGTAAGGAAACTATTCCTGCACTGGTATGTGGATAAGACTGTACCCTTACAATTACGTTCTATAGCAGTGCTGCCCTCCTGCAGTAGTCTTTTGGTTTTGTTCATCCACTTTCTGTACACCAATAGGCCCAGTCAAGAAAAATTCTCTTGTGTTCCAATTTTCCCAGTCAAGTCAAATGGAAATTTGGATACGCAGAGAATGATGGGCCAGATCTCCAAACTTTTACTTGCACTCATTTTGCAATGTGCACTTGTCACATAACTAACATTCAATCTAACCTCGTCCACTCATGTAGGTACAGCTGGTGCCACCTTTACTACTCGAGTTCCAAACCTTCTATACAATGTCTGTATCATCCAAGTAATGTTTTCTACACTTGTTTGATTTCTCAAATGGTTAACAGAACATTAAAAAGAATAAATAGCCAAAATGCCATAAACCATATGTGACAGCTCCAGGCATTCCCTTCATAGAAAACAGGGCTAAATAAAACATCAAGAGATTACCTAGTTCAGGGTTATTTTTTAAGGATCACACATGAATGCAGGACAGGGCTAGGAAGATATTCCCCTTTTGTCTTTTGGTTTCAGGTTAAAAAATAAGGCAGTAGTGCATCTATTATCTACCCACCTAAATGTGGAAACAGATCAGTGTCCAGCTGCTGTTTTCGAGTGCACAGTTTCACCAGTCTCTGTAGCCGGCTCATGCAGGATGAGTGCGGAGAGAAGGCTGTGGCTTTCATGAGGACCCGGTCAGTCCTTGGAGGGTCCGTGACAGGAGCCCTAGTGGGTGGCAGGAGAGGCAGAGGTCTCTTGTTAGACAACTGCCGGGCTTGTGCTATAGTGTGTGTGGTGGGTGCCACTCCCTGCATTGGTAGGCTGGTGTTCGGAGGTTGAGGTGACTTGCAGACTACGCCCTGCGGTAGCCCTGTCGGCTTTAACGAAGCTGATGAAGGTGGCAGATGGGAGTGCTGCTGCTGCAGAGGCTGCTGCTGCAAAGGTGCAGGAAGGGGGCTAAAGTGCTCTTGGCGAACTTTTAAAATCTCTGTCTCTCTCTGGCGCTGCCGGTTTTGAGCCAACTTGCTCTGCAACTTTTTCCTCACTGTTGCCCCTTTCTTTAGGTCATCATCTTCCTCGTTGAAAGCAAAGGGGTCTTCTAATTCTGCCTCCAGGTAGTGGAGAGGAAGCCTAGCCCCTGGAGGGGAGAGGGACATCCCATCCAGTCCATTGGGCATCTTCAAGGCCAGGGTGGGCACTGTCAGACTGAAGGCCATAGCATCCATCTGATGCCTGACCTTTACCTCCTCTATGGGATCATTCTTTTTCTTCCTCTCCTTTTTCGGTATAAAGCCAAGTACCTGCAGGTGACTGTTGCAGTACCTTTGCAAAGTAAAAGCAGTCAGTTATTAACTCAGTTCTTGTAAGTAAAATCTGAAGAAAACAAACATCACTAAAGGGAAACGCACACACCCTCATCTTACGCGAATACAGATCAAAACACAAGAGGTTTTATAAGCAGTGTACACAACTGCTTCTAATACAACAAACAACTGTTGCATTCCCAACCTGTAACAGAAAACATAGATTTATACAAGTGACAATTTGTAATCTTAAGACATGAGTGTCTTCATTCATTCTTCATAGGAGATTCACACACAACCATTCACAATATTTACTCTCTAACAGGGCAAACCAAAGTGAATAAAAGGACTCTCGGATACACAAAACAATGAGAACTCAAGCCTTTAACTCTGATCATTTCAAAAGCTCCCAAGAAAAAGTGCATTGAAGACTACTTCCTTTCATTCGGCTGTCCTTTCATGGGAAGTAGTTAACATTTTCATCAACGCTCACATTATTATTATTAATTTGACTGTAGTAGGGAGCAGTTTCTTATATGGACAACCTCACTAGAGACACCTGCTTAGAAGGGTCACTATTTGCACTTAATGAACAAGTAGCATAAATATTTAAATTCTGTTCTAGTAGTTTAACATGATGAATTTTGTAGCCAGAGGATTAGGTGAATGTTCTTCAAACAAAAATCTAGTTTAACAGAAATTCTCTGCTGCCAGAACATGTTTACACAATGCCAGGAATATGTATACATACAATCCATAAACATGGACTTTAAGCTCTTCCAATACAAAAAAGCAAGGAAAAAGAGGAAAAAAAAGGGAGGGGAAAAAAGTCTTTAAAAGTTTGTCATGAAAATTAAAGGGAGAAGAGTTACAGTTTATGGCCATAGATAACATACTAAGAAGCAAACAATTATTTTTTGTCTGATTAAAACAAGCAGGTTTTAGAAATGTAGGAACCATGATCTGATCCTTTTCCTGTTTCACACAGGCAGGCCCTCCTGCCTCTGTAGAATGCCACCAGCCATCAGACTTCTGCCCTTGCAGGATCCCATCTATAACCTGCAGCTTATAGATGGAAACAAAGATATGAGGAAAAAGTGATGTCTACATCAAGGTATTTATGGACAGGATAAGGAAATACTCATGAAGGTTATTTAAAATCTGATCAGTATGAATCTGAGAAAACGAAGATGTGTTGAACAAACAGGTTAAAATGAAGTTATTCCTGGTCTTCCTGGAGAAAACATAGCAAAAAAGCCCAAACCAACCCCCCACCCACCCCGCAAAAGGTTTAACACTTCAGTTTAGTGACTTTCAACTTGTTGACCCACCCCTAAAGAAACAATGTATGAGCTGCTTCTAAAGGGTCCATAAAAGGTAAAAAAGAAAAAGCAACTTCATATATGCTCCTTAATGATCTCCACATATGTAGCATCTCCAGGGATTCACACCCATTCACAGATCAGAAAAGGTTGAAAAGTACTGCCACTTATTGTCTAAATAATTTCTTTATTATATTAAATTGTAAGTAATAAAACAATCTAGATGAAGCAAGCTGAAAGCCAGCAATGTGTGGAGTCCTTATTAGAACACACTAGAATACTGTAAATTCATACTGAGAGCTGCACTTCTAAAAATAAAATTATATAATGAGGGCTCAATAAAGTTTCCCTTTAAGTCAACAGCATTATTCCTATAATTAAAATTAACTCCTTTTTAAATATTTTGTTTGAACAAGTCTGAGAGCAGTTACAACAGCGCTTTTAGTATGACAGAAGAAAAAACAATGAACAAACAAAATAAACACAAGGGAATTTTTTCCCCCTCTTATTCCAATAAAAAGAGAGTTTTGCTCAAATTGAACACTTCCCTATATTGTTCAGAACTTAAATATTGCCACCTTGTGCTTGTGCCGATATGAGAAGGTGAAACTGGCTAGTTTGATTTCACTGTGAAAAACAAAGAGAAAGCAAAAAAACAGAAAAGTGAATAAACCTACGAAAAGGTAATAAGCTTGCTAACATTCTCTGAGGTTTTGGCTATTAAAGGGTTTTGCTTGTTCATTTAACTCCCATTTTAATATGATAGAGAAGAAAGCTTCGGCTTTTACAACTGACCATAAAGCATCACTGAAAGTCAACTGTATCTTACACAGGCATCACCTCTGGACACAAACCCATAGATGCCAGGCTACAACATACTGAAAATACAGATCACATGCCCTTGCAGGCTCCTGTACACATTGACTTCGCTTTGTGCTTTAGGCTCGATCTACAACTCTCTGTCTTCCAGCACAACTGAGGCTGACACCTTGGACTAAAATGAGCAAGAAGGAACTAGAAAGAGCACTTAAGTCTTCTCTGGGTAGAGAAGAGTACATGCAGGCAGTTTTGGCTATGCATAATTTATTAGCGCCGAACTCAACCTTGGCCTTGTCAGGCTCTAGTTAGTCCCATGCAGAACCAGGCAGGCACGCACACGCGCTTGCCCATCCTTCAGGTTCCAGGATGGTTTTTTAATTGGCCCTGGCCCAAACTGGCTCTGACTTTACATGGTGCTGCAGAGCCTGGTGCACACATTAACTGACTCTGCTGGAACCAGGCTACAAACAGCTGAGTCAAGGTGATAAAACTCTCTGGATCAGATGTAATGCCAGGGAAGGAATTAGTAGCTCATGGTCCACAGAAGACAGATTACTGGGAAGACTGGAACAGCACCTGCAAGTACCATGATCCCTTTCACATAGCTCTGAGCACGAAACACGTTAGGGCCAAGCTAGCCCTATACAAGAGCCAATTCTGATGTGCCTTAGTGGCTCAATTGGTCACTTCTATAACCTGCCTGTGAGTTATTCTCAGCTGACAGTATCACATCGAATATCTAATACATTTTTTCCCCCCCTTCTTTACTTGGTGCCAAAGGCACTTATTCCGTGCAGGTGATGTTGAATGCAGTCAGCACATATGGTAAGAGCTGTGGGCTGAGATCCATTAAAACTATCATAACATCAAGCACACAAAAGGTGACGGACTCTGAGGGCTTCAGTTGGACAGTTTCTCACATCACTGGGAGGGCAAGAATACAGACAGTGAGGTTTTCCACGTACAGTTGCATTCTGCTTCCCAGTACATCCTAGACTGGCATCAAGTTCCGTTACTTAACTAAAGGAAGATCTAAATAAAACTGTACATCATCTTGCATATTAACAAAATATTTAAAGATTCTCTTGAAAGAGAAGAATGAGAGATAAAATGGTGTTTAACCCAGATAAATTGTAATAACCCTACACTTAATTTTTAAGTTGAACTTCATCATCTATTCATGTATTCGGACAAGAAAGAATTAGGAGACATGTATTCAGAGTAAATACAGATACAAAACCCGTGCCTGTATTATCCTGCCTATATTCTTTAAAAAAAACAAGATAGTGAATAGAGAAACTAGACTTCAAATAAGGCAATGTAGTCATGCACTATTAATAGATTTAATTTGTAGAATGTTAATGGTTAATAAGAAATCTAATAATATGGCAGCATATTAAACATCTTTGTGTCTGGTAGCATCTCATTTGTCTGGGGTCAAGTGATAATTTTTTTTAATTATCTGTGGACAGACTATGAAGCTCTTGGCATAATGTCCTGTTCAGACATTTTACTTTTTATAATCTTCAGAAGTATGCAAGAAGATAGCTGTCAGAACATCATACAGCCTGCTTCTGATCATGTACAGTTACATGTCTAAAACTGTGACAAAATGACCATCTGACAGTAATTTTGTACACAGAAAATTAAAAGCTATAAGTGAAGAAATCGGACATAGTAAACATCTTTATATCGAATGGAGTGTGAAAAAAGTCTCCTAAGAAACAGATACAGGTTTGCCTGCCAAAAAAAAAAAAAAGTTTAGAGCAGGCACAGTCTTATCACTAGCATTCATTAAATTTTATTGTTAAAATTATACTCTGCCCAGAGAAGCAGTCTTTTAATATATTCTTTCAAACTAGCACATCCTCTCATTTGAAATTAAAAGTTTATTTTCTCCTTCAGACACCTGCTGTCCTCTTCAAGTACTGTAATGTGACACTCGACATGCAATTGAATTATTCTAATATAACATACACCAGATGTCATGACCACACTTCACTTTAACTTGAGAAAAATCAAAAAAGAACAAAGTGTGAACTCAATTCACGGTGTAAAGAAAAATCTCAAATTCCATGAGAACACGAGACCTAAAAAAGTATCATTAAGTACTATTATTTCTATTGTTTTTAAGTATGATCCCTGGTAAACAACAACTCTGGCTCAGTCAGCTCTTGCATCTGAAATTACAGCATACCATTTGCACTACCAACTTCCATGACCATTTCTGCGAGCTTATTTCCAAAGAGCCTCAATTGTAAAGTAGCAAAGAAACAGTCAGCGACTGACAAATTACAGCTTAAAGTTATTCATCTTGAGCCATTTGAGCATTTGCCCTACAGCTTTTGACAAACATTCATGTTTTTTTTCTCACTTCATCAGTCTCCTCAACTGAAATGGCAGGTGAAGTGCAAGTTAATTTAGACCACAGTCCAACTGTTGTTTCAGACAAGAGAGGGAGCTGTGAGCTGGGAAGGAAGTTATATGTAGGGCACAGTGGGAACACTGCTAATAATGCAAAAGGTTAGTGAGTGGTAGCTAATAATGTGAAAGGTCAGTGAATAGTGGTTTGATTCTTTTTTGGCATATTTTATTTGTATTTTAGGCTAAAAAAAAAAGTTTCTAACAGAACAAGCCTCAGATAGTTAATACACATTAATTAAATACTGTGTTACTGGCAAAACCTGCAATAATGACTCTGAAAAATTAAAGTCATATATACCTGGCAGCCAAGATTGAACAAATTCTGCTATTTCAGCCCAAGCAACACCAGTAAGTCTGGTGTTCAGGAAGTCCTAAAGAGCAAGGAAGAATGTCCTTGTGGTTGCAGTATGGGCTGCAATTCAGGAAATCTGGTGTGAATTCCCAGCTCCCCAGCTTCAAGCACTATCTTTTGCAAGGCATTTAATACCTGCGCACCTTGGACACCTTCATTTGGGCAGGGAGGAGGAGAGGAGGGGGGGATGCAAAGAAGAAAGGGAGTAGACAGCACTTGTCCAGCTGGCTGATCTGTTATCAAGTAATATTTATATTATTCCAGTAATACATCACTACAGATCAGTATCAAATCACAATTCCAGATTCATCCTTATGTGCCACTGCTCCCTAAGCCCAGAAGGTATGATTTTCAACTGTTTGTCCTGAAAAGGCAAATGCAAGTGCGCTTTTGGCACAGCTGGCCAAACAAGCAGGCTTTTTTAAATGCATGTACTGTGAGTGACAAAGCACATTAATTAGAACAGTGGGTATTGTGTAGCAGATTTGATCCACAGTTTATAGTAAATTTGAGAAAGGCAATGAACTCTCCCAAAAACTTCCTTGGAAGTAAGTTACTGACCCTTGTGATTTGACTCCCACAGAAAACAAAATAAAGTTTACTGGTCTTAAAACAAAACCCTCAAAGGAACACCCTGGAATTCAATCCACTCAGGCCAGTTCCTCCCTCATCCTAAAACCAGGCAGCATCTTAAAAAGAAAACTCATGCCTATGTCCCAGCCACTTCCCACTTTGCAGATGTGCAACCACAACTCACCTCCGGTCCTCAGATTTGGGGATGGGGTTGGTGCAGCGTTGGCTGTTATACTTGGCCACATATTCACATTGCTTGAAGGGGGCAGTCTTGTCCTCCAGAACGTGTCTGATACAGAAGGCGTAGCCGTTAAGTCGCCTCTGCTTGCACAGTTTGGGGCTATATGAGCACAAGGGCTTATTGTCAACCTCAGAGAAGTGTATGTGTTTGCCTTCATACATCACGTGACTCTATTCCTTGTGAACATCAGCTGAAAGAACCAAAATATTAAGACAAATCATGTAAGGGAAAAACAAAAATGCATTCAGTCCTAGATTGTGTTTCTTTTTGGCAGGAAAGATGGATCAAAAACAATACCTGATTTTAAATCTTCTGTACCATATCAATGTTAAGAGAGAGCCCCAAGGACACCACTATCCTGGAATGATGATGAATCAAGATGAAGCAGATTGTCTACGGGAAATATCAAAAAGGTCAGAGTCAGTCAGAATAAGATAGATATTATTACAGCTTAATAATTAAGTGGCCAGATACAGACACCAAACCTGTGGTTCAGCTAGCATCCAATAAGCCAAATCCACTAGCATAATAGTTTTCAATCAGTAGTCACAGATCTTTGGAAACCGTGAAAGGAAATTACTGGAGGAAAAAAATTCTATGACCACCACACTTAAAGCTGTTAAACAAAACTCTGCTCATCTACCAGAAAATTCTAGGAGCTACAAGTTGAAAAAGAATAAGCGTCAGAATAGATTGCTTGCTTTCAGGAACCAAGTTGAATGATAATTAACCCATTTGATTGCAGAGGTTTTACTTCAAGTGTCTTTGCTTACAAAAATGCTGGCAACCAAAAACTCTGCAAAATTTAAATTTCATCAGGCAGTGCAAGAAAGCTTTTTAGCCTCTTTATTTTTTTTTCTTTTAGAAAAAAAGCTTTCCTTACCACACCTGACAAACAGTATTTAGATCTTGTAGCTCCCCACAGCTTCTGCAAGCAGCAATACGCAGTCCTTCCTGAGGTCATCACGGTTCTTCAGAGCTTTACCAAACTTATTCTACTTATTTTGGGTAAATGCAGGCATTAACAATGTCAGAGGCAGTGCTCCCATAGATGCCAGGAAGGCTGAAATGTCATTTCAGCAAGAGACTGGGTTTTTTTTTTCCCCCTGAAATAGATGCCTACAGTGCAAATCCATGCAATCATAAGGTACTTTTTTATTTCCCAACACTATGGAGTCTTTAGCAATCATTCTTAGAGGGACCTATCTCTTCTTTGGCTTGCTGAGAACCAAACAATCCTTTCAGACACCTTTCTTAAGACAGATACTGACACACACTTCAGTATTATCCAGCAGCAACGTGAAAGAAAAACATAAATCCCACAATGACATGCCAATACGGGAGTTGTGATCTGGGTTTGGGTACCGTGTGTTTGAGACACAGCCTCCTCCATTATTATGGCAGCAAAAGTAATCAAATGAATCTTAAACTAATTGCATCTTGTGCACACAATGAAGCTGACAGAAAGCCTTGCTCTGGAGTTTGTTTCTCTCAACAGTTAACCAAAGGTTGTATTTGGTGGCATACTGGACAGGATGAAAAACTCGAAAGAACAAGCGCATCTTGCAGCTGGGATAATTCACATGCTGCTCTCTATTTCTTTCTGTTTTATTTACCACCTTGTTTTAAGCTACTACTATCATGCTTTGCACAGGTTTTGAAGGATCAATGACCTTCTCCTCTTTTGCACAACCCAGCAACATTTCTTTTCTGAAGGTTATCAAGCAACAGACCAAAGGAAAAGAGTTCCTCAGAACGGTTCCAAAGTAAACAGTGAGAAACACATACCTGGTGTGCCTCCATTAAACTTCTGTAAAGAAACTACTGCACAGTTTCCAGCCACTATAATCCTGGATTTATTCCTGTGCCCCCAGTCTTATTTTGGGATATAACTCACAATTAAGTCTTATTTTTGCATTTAACTTGACTGTGTCAAGGCAGGCATAGTATTTTACTTCTCACTTGTTTAAAAGATACAGGACACAAGTACAATGCCATATGAAACATTTAAAGCAAAAATACTGACAATAATCCTCAGGGAAAACAATAAGCTTGAACATGAACTTTTAGGTCTATATATACACTAAGAGAAGTTCATACAAATTAACAATCTTAAAAATCCTGATAAGAATCAATTAGTGCAACTACAGTGCAACGAAGAAAAAGAAAGCGAATATACCTAGCAGCCAATATCATATTAAAAAAACCTACAGCAACTCTCTCAAACTTGCAATTATATCTTTATTGGTAGATTCCTACATAGACTCCCCAAAAGGCAGTGGCACAATATGGATACACTGCCAGGATGAGAAACTGAAGTTGTACTTACTCTAAAGAAAACTTTTTCTTTTCACTTCCACAGCACACCAGAGAGAGAGAGAGAGAGAGAGAGAGAGAGAGAGAAAGGAAGAAATAACAGAGACTTTTAAATCTATTGATTCTGATTTAATCTGATGCAGTATGTTATTTTGAAGAAAAAATACAGTTCTTAACAGAGCTTTTTGTTCCTACCTAAAAAGTAGCACAAGCATGGACTAGGCACATGTCACTTAACTTGAAGAGAACTGAAACTACACTTAGCTAAATAGTGGGTGGGGAAGAAATTATTTTTGTCCCACAGGATTCAATAAGTGATGACGGAAACATGGACTTCCCCTGGAAAAAATCAAATGCTTAAGCAGCTGTACTTCACTGCAAAACTATCAGAGTACAAAACTTTGTGGAAGCTGTTTTGGGTTTTGCATTTATGCTGTACATTGAAGTTGCAGAAAGGTTCAACAGAAACATAATTAACATCTGCATATCCTCAAACTAGCTTTAGCCACAACGCGTGAATGAGAAATCAGAGGCTGCTTCTTGATGAACCTAGATTTTGAGTTAGTCAGAAGCAACAGGGCAAAGAACAGAAAAGAACCTAAAAATGCGTGCCGTTGCCAAATGACATAAGACATGACTGAGGTTTAAAAAAAATCATGTTAAGTGATAAGGTGAATATAGAATGGTCATATACCATATCACACAATATTAGAACTAGAGGTACTTGATGAAGCTAGTAAGAGATTGACTCAAAATATATTAAGAAGTACTTCTTGATTTTACTACTCACGGGTAGTGAACTGCTGGAACTTGCTGTCACTGGAGGCTGTGGAAGCAGACAGTATCAGCAGGTTCAAAAAGACAATAGAAAATTTCATAGACAATGAGGACATGAGTGATGTACCTGCTAGCATGACTAATTTAAGGAATATGGATGGTAGAGGAGTACAAGAAGAAAATACTAAAAAGTGGCTGGGCTTTCATACTCTTCCGAAATAGCATCACTTAGTCCTACTGCCCAAGACAGAACATTAGGTTGGATCAACCCAGCAGGGTATTTCTTAAGTTCTTATAAGGTTACTACTAACATTTGTAATTCGGTAACACATTCATTTGTCCCCTTCTCCCACTTTCTACTCCTGAGCAGTTGTCTGAAAGAAAATCTCCCTCTGGCAAAAGCCCTATCTGGACAGTGAAAAGCAACAAACTTAGCATCCCAGCAAGGCTATATAGTAGCAAGGACAGGCAGGATACAGAGCAAAGCCACACTCTGCAACATCCTCACTTAGAGTAGAGCTACTTGTCCTGCTGAGTGCAGCCACTGGTGGTCCATAAGACAACAGAAGGTGTTTGCAAAGTGACTGTAAAAAGAGAAATGAAAGGCTTAAATACACATAGGTGCACACCTGCGCAACCATCAGTACCTGCTGTCAGGCACAGGAAGAAGCCAGCTCCCAACTGCTTTTAGTACTGGCAAGCAGGCGTAATGAGTTCCCTTGCAGCGCACAGCAGCTCCAAGACAACAAAGCCACAGTTCTGTGCTCCACAGAACCCTCTCCCAGAACAGTTAAACAGTCCTCGAAAGAGCCTGGGAAACAGTGTAGTAGCAAACATTGGGGGGCAATCTTCGCTAGTCCATACTGACTATCAGCACTATGTCATACCGAAATTTGGTACCTGACATCATCTGTAGTCTACAGAGAAGTTAATGGCCTAGTCACTATTAGAAAGCCCAAAGCATTACAGCCCCAAAACTCAACCAGTAATTTTGAGAAACTACCGTGCTGAAAACATTAGAATATTTTACATGGGTTGGATACATTCTTAAACGTATGCTCAGAACTGACATTTAACGTGCTTAAGACCCTTCTAGGCAATGGAATCCCCAAATGCATTGTAAATTGCAAGGCAATTACATGTCTTTGGTTAAAGGATGTATAATTAAGAGGACTGAGCTCAGAGCTTCACACATTGCATCCAAACAAAAGCCACGATTACTGAGGTCTTAACTATGTTGCTTTGCATTTGCGAATACTAGCGCAGATTTCATGTTAAATTGCTTTGTGTGTTCACCACATCTCACAGACAAGGTACAATCATCTACACTTGCTTTCAAAACCATTAGTGTGGGGCCGGAAGTGGAACATGGATCTCCAAGAACCTCAGCTTTTCCACAAACACAAATAGTACAAATAGTAGTTTTGTTGATGCCTCTACTTCACCAAGAAAGAGTAATTCCCTGCATTGCCTTTGTCTGACCCTTTCGCTGAGACCAACAGTAAATACATAGATTTTAAGATGATGGGGCAACATGGAATTAATTTCATCCAGTCAGAGACGTACAGAGACCATAACAATCATTCCAAAAAGACATACATTTAAAGCTACCCTACAGTAAAACCTTTCAGTCAGTATTAGTAGAAACTACACTATTAGACTATTAGAGAGAAAGCAAAAACATTACTCTTTTATATTTCATACTAACAGACTTTAGGCAACTAGTACCTCTCTGTAAAGTGCTTTGTTCTATCAAGAGAAGCTGCACCACATCTAATTGTGGTTGACAACAGCACCACAAAGTTGTAACTTCTGTCCCCGTTTTGTGATCTAACCATAACTTTGGCTTAGTTCTGGTCATTTAACAGCTCAGTTCTCTACTACACTCAGCTATCAAACCAAGCCTGATGTAATTCTGGAAATAAGAGCCTTTTTGTTAGTAAAAGCACCCAAATTGAATCAGAAAATACTGGGAAGCAACCAAAGTCAACTACAAGAGTTCCTGTAGGAAACACTTTATTAACTGGAGTACAATCCTTACTCAACAAGGCCTCTGAAGAGCCCTGCACAAGTCAAGGTACTGCACACACATGCAAGTAACCTGACAGATCAAGGCACTTAACATAAGATCTTACTAGACATTTTTAGTTACCACCTAGAATCATATTTTGGACTACTTTTTTTTCATATGTTAAAATCTACCTAGGAAGATAGAAGCAGCAACATTGTCCTCATTCTGCCTTTTTAGAAAGCTTATTATTTCAACTCTGCTAAAAGGCAGTTTATATTGCATAAGGATGTCTGATACATTAACAGAAAAGCAGCAGTATATTTTAGGTGATACTGGTAATATAGATTATGCTTCAGAATATAATGCAATAAATACAGAATTAAATTTAAGTATTATTCCTAATAATAATAACAGCTAGAGAATTTAGACTTGTAACAAGTTTCAATCAATAGCAGAAAACATAACTAAGAGGATAGAAAATAACTCTTTTTGTTCCAAGACTGAACAGGTTCTTCTTTTTGTTCTCCTACACAAAATGAACCTAAGCAGCAATTTTAATTTCAGTTGAACCACTTATCTAATAAATAGCACCTTAAAGGAAACATGCCAAAGACAGTCCAAAGCCTAAAAAACAACAAACATTTAAGACTAGGAATTTTAGAAACCTCAAAGGATTTCTAAGGAGAAAAGATGTTAAGTAGGAAGATTCATAAATGTCACTAAGAGCACATCCCTATAGATTTCAACAAAATAAGTTTCCCAAAATAAGTTTAGGGCAAGCAGGGCTGTAGAAAGGCAGTCTTCAGATGTAGCAACAAATGGAACCTTTAGGCCATTGCAACATCGCAAAAATGCACTTTAAAATGTTATCTCAAAATATCAAACCCATGATCCTGAGAGAAAGCAGATACTAAACGTACCACAGCATACTCTGCATCTGTACATGAACAAAAAAAAAGGCTGTAAGTCCATCTTTTACTTATTCAAATAACAGATAACCTGCACTTGCATATGAGTTAAATAAAATACCTTAGTCTTATTTTTAGTCCCAATACTGCAAAGACAAACAAACTTATTTTCACACAATACAGGAATATCATTCTTGCTTCAGTAGGAATACTTAAGAAATAAAATAAAGCATTAGAGGTCCTTACAGAGCAGCCTTTTAGCAGTCATAAGCTATCGAAGTTTCAATACAGAATTACAAGAAATTTGTACCCCCTGTGGATTTCCCATACTAAGAAAACACGGTACATGAAACTTTGCAGGACCAGGCCCTACATACAAATTCATTCACTCATCATAAAAAATACTGAAACATCAAAATAACTCCCACTAAGTAAATTTTGGGTTGCATTCTACAGACAATTTAGCTTTACAATTAATAAAACTTGTCTGATGCCTGTATATATTACAAACAAATAATATAAAAGGCTGAAGATAGCTGCAAAAATGTCACCAGTTTTTAAGTGCCAGCTTCATACAAAACGCAAGTGCATACAAAATACAGCTTCATACATAACATAAGCAATCAGCAGCGGTACCTGATGGGTACAGCCTTAGCATGAAACGCTGCCAGTACAGGGGTCCCCATAGCAGAGGGCACTCAACTACAGGGGAACGATGTGTTGCCCTAAATTTGCCAACTTTCTTTTTAAGTCTACCAATCCTCAAAAATTAAGAACAGCCTTAAAATAAACCTTCATCATATATTAAGTAACAAAATTAGAACTAACTATAGATCTACATATTTAAATCAGATGGTATATTATAAGGCTTTAAGGTAAGCATTACTGCATTTCCAAAATTCATTTGAGGTTACCTGTACCAAGCCATTAGCGTTTTGAGCTAAAAGACATGTGAATGAACACTTGACCAAAAAGACACCTCCTGCATTAGAAATCTGAGCTATTTCACCTGTGCGGGGTGAAGCGTGTTGGTGGGTTTTCCAGTGGACTCACTTCACAACTACCAGACGTTCTTTTCCCTGAAAAAAAGGATCCTTTCATTTTCAGTCCTGGGGGCTGTGACACCCCACAGAGAACCCCCATGCCAGTGGACTCCGGCCTGCAGGGACAGCTAGTGTCCCCCACAGGGGACATGAGAGGAGGCCAGGGCCCAAGTCCAGATGTGGCCCTTGCTGCGTAGGGGCCGCTGAGGCGATTCCTTCCCCTGGCTGCAGGGCCAGTGGGCTGTTGCCCCCGTCCCACTGATGCCAACCGGTCCTGGGACAGTGTGGGTGGCTAAGGGTGCCAGTGGACTCCGGCCTGCAGGGACAGCTAGTGTCCCCCACAGGGGACATGAGAGGAGGCCAGGGCCCAAGTCCAGATGTGGCCCTTGCTGCGTAGGGGCCGCTGAGGCGATTCCTTCCCCTGGCTGCAGGGCCAGTGGGCTGTTGCCCCCGTCCCACTGATGCCAACCGGGCCTGGGACAGTGTGGGTGGCTAAGGGCCCCCCGCCAGGGCCTTGGTGGGGCTGAGGTGGCTGCCAGCCCCGGCACGTGGTGGGGCACGAAGGCGAGGCCGAGGCAGCCCCTCACTCCTGTCTCTCGCTCCCAGCTTCAGGGGCCGGTCCCGGGGCCACCATGTGCCGGCAGC